GCTCAGCGCCCCCCCGCCCGACGCCCCCAGCCGCAAGGCCAGCGTCCACAAGCACGTGGTGTTCTTGGAGCCGGGCAGGAGGGGCCTCAACGGCCGCGTGCAGCTGGCGGTGGCGGAGGACTTTGATCTCTACAACCCCGTGGGCCTGCGGTTCAAGGTTGGCTCCGAGTCCACGAGCTCCACGGGCTCCGAGGGACTGGTGATGAGCTAGCGGCCCAGGGCGCCCCCGCAGGCCACACGCACGGCCGCTGGCCCTGCTCCCTGCGGCGCAGAGAACTACCAAGCGCCCAGGAGCCACCTGCTAGGCCCTCCCTCGCACAGCGGCCCCTCTCACTGGGCTATCTCCGCACAGGGCCTGCCGTGCCCCTTTCCTGGGGACACGAGCATGGGAACCGAGGTCCACCTGGCGAGCCCTGGCCTCAGAGCAGGGGCCGCTGAGGGGGAGGGAGTGGGTCAGGAGAAGGGGAGACGGGGCCCCATCCCCAGGTGGAAGCGGAAACAACACCCTCGCCCCCCTCCACACACCAACAGCCAACCTCCTCCCAGCTTCCCAAGTCCAGGCCGAGTCTGGTGGGCAGGCGGGAGGCAGGCAAGGCTCCTCAAGAGACCCCTGGGCCTGGCCTGGCCCCACCAAGTGGCCCTGCTCCTGTGGCCAGAGCATCACAGGCCACAAAGGGCAGAGCCTCTCCCGTGGGCTCAGCAGCAGTGAGGGCCCCGCAGGCCCCGCCCCGCCTTCAGCAGAGAAAGATTGCTGAGCTATGGCCCAGCAGAAGGTGGGGCCGGACTCGCTGTCCCTGGAGGCAGAGCTTCGGAAGGGCAGGCGCTGGCTTCCGGCTAATGGCTGCGGCGGTGCCGGCTTCCTGTGGACCGCGCCCTCCCGCTGCAGGGAGGCAGGGCAGGTGGGAACCCCTGTGGGGAGCGGAGCTGGGGCCCCTCGAGGGCCTGAGTCGGATGGTCGGGAGTTTCTTAATAAAGGCAGGACGCCCACCGGAGCCTCCAGACACGGCAGCGTGTGCTCAGTCTTGTCCGGCCGTGCTGTCCCCCATCACAGGGGCCCCCCTCCCGCCGGTCGTGGTCCCGGCCCTGCCCGAGCTCGGACGTGGGCCGAGGCGCCTGCTCGGCGAGGTCCCTATTTAGGCCTTTCTGCCCCAAACCTGGTCGAGGCCCATCTCAGAGCCGAGGAAACAACTGCAAGGCGGCCCTGCGCAGCCCCCCGGGGGCCCGACCCCCACTCACCCTGCGGCGGGGCCGTGCACCAGGAGCCGCACCAGGATGCCCGTCACTGCCACCAGGATGGGGTAGTGGTCCACGCTCTCCAGGCCTAGGGAGGGCGAGGGGGTGAGCGCCCATGCTGGGGCCCAGTGGGTGCCAACCGCCCTCCCCACTGGGCACAGGGGAGGGCACTGAGGCTGGAGTGCCACGCCTGGCTGTCCTGGCAGAGGACCAGGGTGTGTGGAG